ATTCGATACCAAATTAGGCTGCTCATTGTGTGGCTTAGTCGAACTCTCTCTCCCCTTAATGTAAAAATATCGATGTACTAAAAAAATGACATTAAATATAAACTTTAAATAAAAACTCCCCAAAACCCGAAATCCACCAAAATGAATAAAAATGCTCTTAATTACTCAAGTTAGTGTTTAGTCTCAAAGTACAATTTCACGTAATAGTAACATGATATCTTTATGCAAGATGTATAATTTTCATTTCTTATGTGTTTATCAATTTTGGTATCTTATTTATGTAATTCAGTAGATTTAAATCTTGATTTTATAACAAGAACTTTTATTTGTTTTAATATTATTTGCACTCTGCTATATTGTGACATTATAAGTTGTATATTACGGCATAATAATTTGGATTTTTGAAGAATAAGTTTTCAGACGGGGGAGACTAAAAAGGAAATTGAAGTGCATTGTCCCATCAAACAAATGGTAAACGTTAGTCGCGTAAAAGTGTGAACTGCCAGATAAAGTTGTGCTAGTGTTGGAAAGGAACCGATGAAAGAAAAACAAAAGAAAAAAAATGAGTTTTAACGAAAAACTTATTATACTATTCATTTTAATGAAAAATCATATTTTTACATTAAAAAATCGAACTTGGTACTATTCATTTTACCCTTTATTTTTTCCTTATCGTTAAAACTCAAAGTTTGCAAACTTTTTTCATTAGTTTTTCTAAAAAAAAAACCTAAACAATTTGCATGGAACTATAGCAAAACCCTACCTAAACAGCCGACGGCGTCTACTTTGGTACTAGTACCAAGCACATTGAGACTTGAAATTTTCTCTGCAAATTTAAAAATTGGCGAAGGAGAGAAAGTGATTAAAATAAAGCTAATATGATTAGACTAATGCTAAGTATTAGTCTGGAAATGTGAGATTTGTATTGTATTGTCGGGACTTTCTTGGGTGCTAAAAAGTATTTGATATTTTAGATGTTTTAATTGTTAAATTTTAACACAACGATAAAAACATACAGAACAATCGATATTTTAGAACACCCAATGGTTTTTGTTGTATTGTCTTACAATGCTGCTCGTTGTCCTTATAAGGTTATATATAGAATACAGGCTCGGGTTTCCAAATAAAACAAACACTTACTTCCATAATCTCAGACAAATGTTCCTTTTGGGTGCATTATTATTGAATATAGAGTTGCCCGAGGCTGTTTAACCCACTTCAATTAATACATTCCGTTCAAGATTAGTTACTGTAAATTTTTCTTTAATAGTTTAAACTATTCAGTAGTATAAAAAATGAACAGTCATAATTTAATTGATGAAATAATAATTTTTCTTACTTGATAATTTAATATTTATAAAGACAGACCTTGGACTATTAAAGATTTACTCAAGTGACTTTTCCTAATTATGTAGTACCTATCTGTCATTTTTTTGTTTGTAGAGAAATGTTAAGGGATTCTTCCAAAAGTGAGAGTCTTCTTAGACTCTTTGTCACCTCACAATTTAACGTTAATTTTGATGACAATATTATAAAATATTATACAAAAAACATGAGATAGTTAGTAGAGAGTCACTTTTGACAGTCTCCTTAGCATTTCTCTTTTTTGTATCGACTTTATTTTTTTTTTTTAACAACGATAATATTAACACTATGAGGGTGGGGGAGTGAGCTAAGCCTCACAATGGACTAGCAATAATGTGGTTCAAATTCACCTTCGGCGAGAATCAAACCTAAGACGTCTCACTTACAAATGAAGAGAAATACCACTAAACTATAGTATTAAGTGATGTATCGGCTCTATTGCAACATCGATTACCCCATTATCAAAGTTATTGCAAATTATTAGAAGTACTTTACAAAAGTTCCTTTGTTCCTTCGGATTAATTTTTCTTAGAAGAATGTAATATATTTTAATTGGGTTGCGAAAAAACTTTTATCTAGGGTAGAACTAGAAGAACTCATACGAAGTTTAAGAGTGGGAATGAGATGAGAAAATTGCCCGAGGCGAACACTGTTTAAGGCGTGTTTATTTGCATTTTTAGAATGGGAGTAACATAGGGTACTTGAGAAATGATACATACCTAAGTTGTTTAGGTATAAGGATAAACATAGTTTCATTGGTAATGACACATTGTAAACACTGAGAATGGCCTACATATTTTCAACATAAAACTATATATTTATTCTTTATTTGTGTGTTAGTAAATAAGTAATTTGTCAGGACTGAAATGTAACATATATTTTGTTCTTAGTCAGGAATGAGATGTAACATATATTTGGTATTCTCATTCTTTATAAGTAAACATATCATGATTGACATTGTTGAAATGTATAATACAAGTGATCAAAGTGATTAATAATATATGGTCTACATTAATAACAATTTAATTTGATTAATGTTCTATATCATTAAGGATATTACAATTTTCATTTATTTGTGGGAAATGTTAAGGATACTCTCTCAAAAGTGGGACTCTTCATGGACTCTTGGCAACTCATATTTTGGCACAATTTCCATCCCACTTTGAGAGAGTTTCCTTAGCATTTCTCTTTGTGTATATATGGAATGCAAATATGGATTAAAAAAACTGGATTTGTCTGTCTTCATGCTCATACTGTTGTCCCCAAAGAGAGACCATGAAAGTAAGAAATACCACAATCTCACTCCATACTTCTTCTACTTGCATATATTGAATTAAAATTCTCCAGTTCAATTCATATTTTGGGCATTCACTTGTATTATCTGGAAAACCAATTTCAACTTGATGTTTTACATAGTTTCTCCATTTATTACTTAGTATGATATTTTGGATGCCTTTCTTTCTCTCTTTTTTTCCTTTTGATTGCACGTCTTGGTTAGTTCTATTAATTACTTGGAAATTTCAGTTGGCTAATCATGTTAGTTAACCTAAATGTCAACTAAGATTAAGGAAATGATGAATAAATAAGATATTGACTTCAAAGTTCAAAGAAAAAGGGGGGAAAAGAAGGAGGAGGATGTTCTTCCCTCCTAATCTCTTTCTCCTTCTCTTCCCTTCCCTCTTACTTGGAAGATTACAGTTAAGTCACTTCAACATTTTATATTAATTTTTTATAAAGACAATAAGACAAAAAACAAAGTGTGAGAGGATGAGAGAAAATGAAATGAGAATAGGAGGGGAGAGAATCTTACTCCATAAAAGAAAGGCAAAAATTTTAACTTGGATGGAAGACTAGATTGGGACTGGCCTTGGAGAAAGGCTGTGGAGAAGGAATAAGAAATGCAGAGACCAAAATTGACAACTAGGACTAGGGCTCGCAAATAGGGATATGTGCTGTAGCTTTTGCACGCCTGCCTTTACCCCTCTCCAGTCTTCATCCATATGATAATTTTCAGGCTACTTTAAATGGGATTTTTAATTTTCTTTATCTTGTTACCATTTGACTTTAAATTTTCCATTTACTCCATCCTTTCAAGCCCATTCCTCTCTCAACAAAATCTTCTACCGCGTCACATCCTCTGCCCGTCTCCCTTGTTGACATCATTTCATCATGTCATGAATTGCAATATTTAAATGCACCATTAGTTTTAATAAATCTTGAACCATATGCAGCACATCTTTACATACTGTAACAAGTACAACAAAAAGAGTTATAGCTAGGTAACTCGTTGATTCAGACCATTCATATTTGTAGAACTCATACAATAAAAATTATCAAAATTATTTATATGTCGACTGTGTAATCGTAAATGGCCAAAACAAAGTTTAATAATGGAATTTTATGTTGTACTGTTCGACCACAAGCGCCAGGTGCAATACATGTGGGGGTGGTACCACTTTCTCTGGCCACAATACATTTATCTTTAGCTATAATAGGTCGCATGAACCTATTAGGCAACAATAACTGTAACAAATTCTTTTCACAAGCTTCCAGAGGGCACATGGGAGTGAGCCAAATTCAGCTGCACATACTGCCAACTTAAGTTCACATTTCAAGTTTCTGTAGCCGAACCTCTCTCATCTTATGTCGTATATCTCAAGGGCTATTTTACTAACACAAATCCCTCAGGTTAGTTCCAACGGTAGTAAATAAAGTTTTACTGGGTTTTGGACTATAGAATTGGGCAATTAGAAAGGTTTCTATCTTGTTTCAACTTTCAAATTTGATTCGCATTAGATTAGATTATCAATTCTTTCTACCATACGACAATATACTCATATTGCAAATCGAGCGGTCTCTTTCTACCACATAATACCAACAGGATCCTCTCGGATCTTAGGAATCCGTGAATTGTGTTCGTTTATTGTATATCGTGCATTCAGTTTTTGTCACGTATTGTTTGTGTTTAATTTTAAATAAAAATATTTAAAATAATTTATGACCGCACGATGTACGATGAACGGACATGATTTACGGATCTTCAGGATCCTCACAAAGAAGATCCAGTGAGGATCCGGATTCCATATAATAATCTACAGACATTGCAGATCCAGCGGTAATTGTATCATTTCGTACTCTAGAAGGGATGTAGAAAGATGAACTCATCCCTTTATTGTTGTTAGATTTTTCCTACAGTATTATCTCTGGAGGCCGAAGAAAATTATAGAGACTTCAGAAACCCAAGAGGCAGGAAAAAGGTGTAGGGTTAAGGACATGCAGAAAGCATATACAATGATGAAGCACCCCAGATACTCATAGGCCTCCCAAAGTCAAATATAGAAAGAGAAGCCTCCTTTGCAAAGTTTGTAATGATGGGATCCAGATATTCAGTATGAAACCCTAAAACTCCACCGTGAAATGTGGACCCCAAAATCCTCCAAAAATAAAATAACAATTAAAAATAATGTTAAGAAGATCAAATTTTTAAACTAAATTCGCAAATTAAATTTGATTTAAAATTTTGATTTCCTTAGCATAACTTAAAAATAACTAAAGCATCACAAAAATAGGTCATATTCTTCTAATTAATTAAATAAACATGAACTTTTTATTTTTTGACAAAACAAAAAAGAAAATTTAAGAAACAATCAGTAAACATAATCTGCCTTGTCACACACAAGTCACAAATTTACATGCTAGGAGGTGGAAGCAATGTAAAAAGCATAGGTGCCATTTTTTCTGCTCCCCCATCTTCCAAATATCTCAAAAGAGTGAAAGACCTTACATTTCTCCCTACTCTGTCTAAGAACTGAAATGAAAGTTAGCTGCTTTCTGGAGCATCCTCTGACTCACTGAACAAATCAACTGCTGCCATTGATGAAGCTGAATATTTGATGTACTGCTTTTGCAATTTCATCTGCTGATCCTAAATTACAACCTTCTTCTATCTGCATTTATACAAATTCAAATTCCTCAAACCAGTCATAGTACCGTGAAAATTTAGAATAATTGTACCCTTGACTAAGGAATCTAACCGAAAAAAAAAAAAAAATTCTTCATCTTGTTATATTATATTACACACCTTCCCAAGAAAGAGGGAAAGAGCAGTGAAAAAAAAGTAGCATATATTCTTAGCCTGCTAGATAGCTAAGGTAGCTTGAGATCCAAGTCAGAATGTTTGACTATGAAAAAAACCAAACAGATAAGACAGAATGGAAAAATATATAGATAAATAAAGAATTAACATATACCTCGAGATTGAAAGAGTAAAGAACAGTGTCTTGTGATGATGTAATGTTGAGGTGCAAAACAGTTAGCCGACGATCTTCCAGTGCAACAATGGCTTTCATCAGCTGTCCAGCTCTCCTTTGGCACTTCACTTTTAAGTTGACATGGGATTGGATCACAGTGACATCTATGTCTGCAGCCTCAGACTTGTTCTGAGCAGTGCCTTCATCGTCGAAGGTGGCGGGGGCGGCGGTGGCGGTGGTGCTTTCTTGATCATGAAACCCAATTCTGCATTGGGAGAGAGTCATGAACATTCCATTGGATGGCATTGCCATGCTGCAGGGAGAAGAGGAGGATGCTGATGAGGAGCTGAAAGAGCTGTTGTTGTCACCATTATTGCTCATCCCTTGAATTTGATCAGCTGCTTTTCTCATTCTCTTTTGGGCTTCAAGGGAATGAAGTAGCTGCTCCAATTCCTTCACAAAATCTATTGCACCCCCAACAATTGATGCTTGGTCACCCTTTTAACAAAAACAAAAAACTTATTTTAACTGACAAAAAAATTCATTACTTCAAGCTAATTAACTTGCGAAAAGGCGGTAGCCATTTTGGCACTCTCCTTTTAACCATCATAATCCAAATTGTATGGTTAGAATTTTATTTGCAAGCTCCGAAAGAGTGCAGAAGGCTAAAAGAGGAGTGTTAAAATCGCTAGCGCGTGTTCATAAAATTATAAGAAGATATAGATCGAGTGAATATGATTTTACCCTTTGAATGTAGGAGGTGGGCATGAGGGACCTGAGGACATTGAGATGGTCATTCATCTGGCGGCGGCGGTTGCGCTCCACCGCAATGTGGGTCATCCGCTGGCTCTCCACTTCTTCCTTGTTCTTGGTTGGCCTTGTTCTCTTCCGCTTTCTCCTCTCCCTGGTGGCCGGAGTAAATTTGGGTTGCTGGGTTTTCTCAGCACCATTTTGTACCTGAATCCAGGTAGGTGGTGGTGGAGACCCAGCAACTGAGCTGGGTTTTTCTTCCCCTTGGTTGCACTCAGAAATAGAATGGTGGAGATGAGAGTCTTTCCCTTCTGATTTAACAGGTGAATGTTGCAGCTCAACCATTTCATGGGTCACACAGCTCTCAAGCTCCAGAGCTTTCTGAATTGGGATTTCCATTTCAGGCATGTAATTTTTGTCCGACTCCCATGGTTTTTTGAAGTGTTGGAGTTTCAAAAGTGCTTGAAAGCTTGGCTCTTTCAAAGGAAAATAAGGTGTGGTGGTGGTGGTGGAGGAATCAACACTTTGTAGCATCTGGAGAAATGGCATTCTGTCATCCAAGCTTGGCAATGAGAGGTGGTGGTTGTGGGATTCTTCTTCCTCCTCAAATCTCAAGCTTTCTGTGGTGAAATTCAAACTTTGCTCGAACGGAAAATCCAAATGCTCACCAAAGAACTGCTGCAACACCATAACCCAAGAAATAATTTTAAAAATTATGTTAATAAAGAAAGAGAAAAAGGAGGAAAAAGGGAAGAGCTTTACTGGGTTTCACACCTACCCTTTTCTAACAAAACAAAAGAATTCAACCTTCAAGTGGGAAATTTGGAATATAAAAGTAGAAGGAGAAAAGAATGTAAAAGAGGAAATTTATAGCTTTTTCCCAGAAAATAACACACATTGCATTGAATGCAAAAGCATTTTTGAGAGGAGTAAATGCAGTCCATTTCTTGATGCAAAAAAAGGGACTAATGAAAAATAAAGTGTATGTACAAATTGAGCAAAATAACAACACAAGAACATACACAGGGATTAATGGGTCCTTGAAGAAGCCTCTCCATTACAGGCTGCAGGGAGAGAGAGCAGCAGCAGTTTGTTGGCTGTGCCTTAAATTTTCTTTCTTTCTCTCTCTAGAAATATATTACCGACATTCCATTGATGCTAACAGAACAATTGCAATAAATGTGAGAAGCCCCAATGAGAAGTGGAAGAAATATGAGACCCCATGAATCCAACAACACCATAAATTATATTCCTTTGTTTTCTGATGGGAGTGAAAATATGCTCTTAAAATAGAACAATATTAAATGCTGAGCTGCTTTAGCCTTGAAGAACTAACTTGGTGAGGACACCAGAAAGAACAGGTAGAGAGAGTACTTTGGCACAAATGTTTGAATAAATGGGCCTCCTCCTTCCAGTCCTCCTTGTCCTAGAGAGAGAGAGGTTAAAGAGGTTTGGTGAAGAAAATGGAGGGCGAAAAGTAACAAAGGGAGTGAGGTAAGAAATGAGGGGTGGAAATACTCTCAAACTGATTGAGAAGATATGTTGGTGATGCTTAGATATACATGAAACTGAGAGAGTTGGTGAGACTGAGCAGAACACAGAGAGAGAGAGAGAGAGAGAGAGAGAGAGAGGGCTAGGGTTGTCTGGTTTACAAGGTCCCAAACATTATTGGCGGTGGCAGTTTTGTCCTGCTGCGAGGACAAGGTTGTGGGGACTAGTCTCTCTCACTCTCTTTCTCGGTGCAAACTGCACAGCAATGGGATGGAGGGGGGAGAGAGAGAGAGAGAGAAGTTTTGGAAAGTCCTATGGATTGAGTCACTTGTCTGATGATGGGTCCTTTTTCATTCCACACTTGTCCAGCCAACCCTGTAGCCCAACCCAACCAACCCAGAGTGAATTTATCCGTGATGTATCCCTTATTTACTTCTCTACCTTTATGGCTGTATACAGTATACATACCTAGACAAGATGAACAACTTACATAATACGGATTCATCGTCGCGTGGCGTCCTTTGCTAATGAAATAAAGACATATGGATAAAAGTTAACACACGTCTTTACTTCATTAGGACATGATGCCTCCATAATGGTGAACCTGCATCATATAAGTCATTCTCCCTAGACATAACAACGTGATGTCCCTTTTCTCATATTTGTGTTGTGCTGATCACAAACAACAGTTTTAACTGGTCATCCAGACTCAAACCGTTAAGCCCGAAAACTACATGTTAATAATGGTTTGTTTAATGGGTGACTTGTGAACAAAAAAACTTGATTTTGGAATTCTGAAGGTTTAAAATATTGACAACAAAATAAAATACTAATGAAAATGACATTATTTAGGGATCTGGATCCTCTCCTGAGCTAATGGAGAGGATCCTCCTCATCAATCATCGTGGGCCGTTGGATTTTTATCCAACGGCTACAAACAGGGGGGTCCCTTTAAAGTTATAATGATTGTAGTCGTTGGATAAAAATCCAACGGTCCATGATGATTGATAAGGAGGATCCTCTCCATTAGCTCAGGAGAGGATCCAAATCCATTATTTAGTATATAGTGTAATTATTGACACTTCAAAAAGTATCAGTATATTTTTGTAAATTTGTCACCAGTTGTCCTCTTTTTAGAAAGAAGAGTACGTGATGATATTATTAGATTGCAAATAACAAAATCTAATAATATGTACAATATATTATATTACTAAGTCACACTTGTAAGCTTTGTTTAAAAATACAGTTTACAATTCAATATATTTATATAAAAAAAATTAACCAATCCAACTGTTATCAAACCGACCCGATAAGCCCAACACAAAAGAATAAATTTTCGTGTGAATTAGTGTTGTATTAACGAGTCATGTAAAATTTCACCAAATCTACAAAGCCCCAATGAATTGCTGGTTATGGTTACAAATTTTATTGAACTTCCGGTCCAACTGTTATCAAACCGACCCGATAACCCAACTCAAAATCACAAATTTCTGTGTGAATTGGTGTTGTGCGAACAGATCTTGTACAACTGTTAACAAACCAAACCAATAAGCCAGAGAGATTTTTTAATGTGATCGGAATGCAAGGTGGTACATCATGTGTTACTATACAAATAAAGAGATATGCATATTAAAAAAATTAATAACTTAAACTATAAATTTTCCCACTACTTATATAATGACACGAGTGGTCCGGTCATAATAAAAAATTTCTCCTATAAGCCCAACCCGAAAGTGCAAATTTCCATGAGAATTGTGGTGTTTACGAGTTATGTACAATTTTCCCAGATCTATAAAATCCTTGTTGAGTTGCAACTTTTGGTTGCAATTGAACTTCAAGTTGATCTAGTATTTTGCAAAGGAAAATGATTTTACATTCTCCTTCTTTCCTCGTGCACTTAAACTTCTTTTTAGTGTTTAGATCAAACAAATCAAACAAAAATTAAGAGATAAAAACAATAAGATAAGAGTAGAATGAGAAAATGAGAGTGAAAATTGCTACACTAGTAAAAACACTAGCAATTTTGATTGAATATCTCAAATAAATGACTTGTTGATATATGCTTACTAAAAGAATAGATGATTTTCTAAAATTTAATATTAAATACTAACCCCTTTTGGCATGACATGAGTAAATGGAGGTGGATCTGCATCAAGATTTCGTATTTCCATCTCAATCACCGACCGTGAGAAGAGGGTGCTAAGTCCCAAGGGGAGAATGGTTGGTGAATGGGTGTGTTTAGAGGTTTAAATAAGATTGAAAAGAAAAAAAGTTGCTAGTTTTATTATGTTTCGTTTGGCATTGTTTTTTCCGTCAAAAGATACTTTCTTTTAAAATTAATCAATAAAATAAAACATTTTGATCCATAGAAATAAATAAATAGAACATTTTGATTAGTTTGAAAGCAATGTCCTCCTAACAACAATTTTCACTATGCAACCTCTAGAATACTTATCAAGCTGCTTTAGTAAGAAGTAGAAATGAGTTCGTAATGAACTTTTTCACTTTTTGCAATACCTTATTAGTTGAAAATAACATAGTGTACCCTTCTCTTGTGTTTCTCTCTCATATTATCTCCCAAATATGCATACTCTCTCCGCTGAGAAACAAAACTCACCACCAATGGCATATCAGATTTTAATATTGGTGGTCCCAATATAAAAGCTCCGCAAAAATAACATTGAAAAATTAAAAGATAAACTACCAACTTTTGATTCATAATATTTGTACAAACAACATTACACGACAATATTTCATACTCTAAATATGTGTTATGACATTTTCATTGTTAATACAAGAAAAAACAAATCAATGATGATTTGGAACTATCCAAAATTGGAGTTGAGCTATCCGTAATAGGATTAGAACTATCCAAAATTGAAGTTAAACTATTTGGAATAGGATTGTTTGATTGATCGATGATGGTTTTTGCATGTCCATACTTCTATTTGTACACATATCAATTAATCAAAAAAAAAAAAACCATGTCAATTGATGACCCAACCAATATAAAAAATCGTAACAAATTAACAATACCTATAATCTAGTATGAAATTTGAAATTTCCATCCAATACTTATCAATTTTAACATCCTGCATGATTAATTTTGACAGGTGGAGGCATGAAGCGGCTGGTGGTGGAATGGGGACTATTTGAATCGGGTTAGAGAAAAAAGGGAATCGGAATTGGGAATTACCCAATCTAAGAAAGTAAATGCAAAATGTGATTGGGTGGAGATCTCGGATAGAAAGAAAGAGAATACAATCTCTTAATTTTTTTTTCAATTAAAATTGGTCTCACTCACTTGACTTAATAAGAAGACTTGCTTTTAATTATTTTGTTTTAAATAGTTTGGCTCAAAACAACGTCATTTTGGCCTAGTCCTTTAAAAAACAAAATAGTCTTTTCTCCTTCGTTAATTACTTTTAGAACTTGCACCTACCGGTCCGCCGCTACACTCTTCTCCTCCACCACATGCCCAAACTTGGGTGATCCTCAAAGTTCCTCACAACCACTTATTTGGTCCATCCGCCATTGATCACCACCTTCCCTCAAATGTGTCATCTTACAAAATAAATCACAACTTATATTAACTACTTACACTTCTAAATCGTTTGAGGCCTTTTGTGATAAAACCTCATACCAATTAAATTCTACAGGTAATTAAGTTGAGGAGGATATCAGTATGACAGTAACTATAGTTTCCAAATTAAGACGCACTCAGTGCCAATGGTAATCTCTTTCTGTCACACAAACATCTTGCAAATTGCAACTTGGTTAACAAAAATACAAAAGTATGGTTAAACCCCCTTCTTCCCTCCATTTAGTGTCACAATTCACAAATGGAACAAAACAAAAACCCCATAATTGCTAATTTTCACATCTTATATAATTTTGTTGTGTTTTTTTTGGCTGGGGCCTTTGCCCACTAGCTTTGGGTATGTTTCACAATTAATATGTCGGGACCAAAATTTTGTCTCTTCGGGAGGTACAGATGGGGACTGAATCCTAGATTTAAAGCATATATTTCCCCTTTAATCCTTCCATTTAATCAAATTTGTAATGTTGTAGCTTTGAGCATTTCCACTAAGAAGCATTGTCACAACACCACATTCTTGGGTGATTTAAATAAGATGGCAGATTTTCAGGTATGGATCTACCTATTAATTGAACCCTCTATATGTTTATATAAAAATAAAGAATTTAATTTTGAAATTTAAAGGAATGTATTCTCTTTATTTTTTTCAACTTTTGTTTTGCTTTGCATATGATTTTATTTTTTTAGGTATTGTGTTTTGGTTTTGTTAATTTTACATATGTAGTTTACTTTTGTTATCAATTTTGCCAAATTTAACTCAATTTCTATAACTGTTGTTGTTCAATATGAAGCTCCATCTCAGACGTATCATTGCTTGTAGCTTGTGGTACATAGTGACTGGGCAACCTGTCATGGCTCTCAGGCCTAAGGTTTTCTAAATACGTTCCAAACTTTGTCTTCGTATAAACAAACATGGTCAAATTAATCACTGGCTTGCTAGCCATTAGGCCCCTTACATCTTCAAGAATCAAATCATTCAGTCACATGCATGCATACTTCTTGTCCAGTTTCTGCAGCATTACCTGACTCCCAAGGCACACAACAGCCCAAATGCCTCTCCCTTCCATTTGCTAAAAAAAATCCCAACAAATGAAAATCGATAAGCATATGAAATATGAGGGACTCACACCTGTTCTCTAAGCATGTACTCTGTCCTATAAGGCGATTTTCTTTTATAATATCATTTTTTTCTTATCCTAGCTAGATTTTCTTTCTATTGGGTAAAGATCACGGATGTGATAGCCAACTTATTTGTACATTAATTCATACAAAGTAACTAATTAATCTAATCAGCTCACTCAGATATTTTCCACTTCGTTTTGGATGGGAGTGTCTATTAAGATCTCTTTTAAGGCTTATGATATACATTAAAATCGTGAGAGATGGTATTAGAGCTAATTTTCTGTACGGTGCTAACGTCAAGTTTGGGAAGCAATATAGCACAGGAAATTTGAATATTGATCTATATATATATATATAGACACGCGCACACACACATGCACACACG